TGTTTGTGCGTGTATGATTTTCTAAATGTGGGTGGTGTTTGACCTGCTACCACTAATTTTTGTCTTCTAGAAATGTAATTTCTATAATTATCACAACATGTTGCAAAAAAAGAGCCTTCTAAAACTATTAACTGAAGCTTGTATGTATAAGTCGAATTTGAAGGTTGATTTGATTTTGGTGTGTTGAATTGGTACGAACGATTCTTGAATGTGTTGTTGATTTAATTGACCCTTTTCACTTTTAACTTGATTTGATATGATTTTGTTATAAATCTCTGCATTTATGTGGCTTGCTTAGATAAAAGACAGAAAATTAGAACACCACGAAGGAAAGACGCCTAAAGAAGTAGTTGCTAAGGATCCAAATACTTGTAGGCATCCAAATGTTATTTTATGGAAGGCAAATACTTTCAAAGAGGATGGTCTTGGGACAAACATGGCTTCCAATCTGTCTTTCAAACCAAATTTATCTCTGAAAACGGGTAAAGAAGATGACAAGGAACGATTTAGTGATATGATATTGGTGAGGAATCCTGAACCTGTAATGAAAAATGACGAGGTCCATTCTACAAATGATATTATAAAGGAGAGTACATACCAGACCGAAAAAGATGTTTCAATCCAACAAAAGTGTGAGAGCAACCTGGATCAAGCTTTTGGAGCTTTCAATCAATCAAGATCTGATGATACTGATGACACAGACAATAGTTCAAGAAATCATGGAATAACTTTTCATACAAGGCATGTGGCAGTAGCATTCGATCTTGACCCCTCACAGGAAATTAGTGGAAATGTAGCAGATGATTCAGTCCCAAAAGTATCTTCAGATGCTACCTTGCAAAGTCCACCTAAAAGGTACTTCAAGCTGTTTTAGAATACATATGGTCTTCTCTTCTACTGAAGTTTAAGTTCAAGATTCCCTAATCACCCATATCAATTTGCTCACATCAATTCTTCTTCAATATATTTTCTTACTTTTTCTTTGCTATAGATTAGATCAATCTGTGAAAGAGATGTCCAACATAGGGGGAAAGATTACTAGGATTAAAAATCGGATACCAAATGCTGGAACAAGTGAAAACTTACCTTCAATACCATTCTCGAAGGTATATTATGACTACTAATTTACTAAATGTTGTGGATTTTAATGAAACCTAAATCCCAAGTGTCGCAATCATAGGAGTGTGAAGATATGGACTGGAAAAGGGCTGAGGATATGATAAAGACCACAGGAAGAGGAGTAGTGGAACTGATAAATTGTAGTACCAGAGGATTCATTGTAAGTGTTCATGTGTTTTTCTTTCTTTTTTATCTGTGGATTCATTTCATTATACCAAGAGCTACCTTCCTCTTTACCAAAGTGTTGTTTGTGAATTTTGATCTTGGATTTTTACCTTTTCTTTGTGTCATGATTTTGCTCATGTTTACAGGTTTCTTTTGGGTCTTTGATAGGGTTTTTGCCGTATCGAAATCTTGCCACTAAGTGGAAGTTTTTAGCTTTTGAGTCTTGGTTGAGGAGAAAAGGCTTGGATCCTTCAACATACAGGAAAAGTTTGGGCGTTATTGGAAACTATGATGATACAGACAAGACAGAAACTCTTGATGAAACCATAGATTCGGAAAAGATTGAAGGAGAAATATCACCAGATATGAAACTTGAAGATCTTCTAACAATTTATGACCAAGAAAAGCTCGAATACTTGTCAACCTTTGTTGGTCAGGTATGAATATTTTCTTTTAAATTTTTCAGAAATTGCAGCATTTCCTTTGAATATAGTAATGGTCATCACAATATTTTTGCAGAAAATCAAAGTGAATGTGATCTTGGCCGATAGAGAATCAAGGAAGCTAATATTTTCTGTGAAGCCAAAAGAGAAGGAAGAGTCAATCCAGAGAAAGAGAAACCTCATGGTCAAATTTTTAGACAAATCTTTTTCTAATTGGGTTAAATTGATGAATAAATGACATACTTCCATTGATTTGTTTACTATAACATCATACTTTCAATTCTTCCCATTACAACATTGTACTTGGAATATAGCAGTTTCATTCAAATACAAAATAGTTATCACTGCTATAATTAGGTAGATTTTTCAAAGTATAATGTCATAATAAGAAAAAAAAAATTGAAAGCAGAAGGATATAATTCGTAAGAAGAAAAAATTGTAAGTACAATGCTGTAATAGAAAGAAATGAAAGTATGATGCTATAATACACAGATAAATGAAAGTAAGTTCCTATTTTACTTAATTTTCAAGCTCTTATATTTTGGTTGTGCAGGCTAAGCTTAATGTTGGAGATATAGTGACATGTTGCATCAAAAAGATTTCTTATTTTGGTATATTTGTTGAGGCAAGTAATGGTTTTTTTTCTTTTTCAAGGAACTCATCACAATGATGCTTCTTTTAAAGACGTGTGTTATGAATTTTGATTATAATATTATTATATTTATAGGTTGAAGGAGTAGCTGCGATGATACACCAAACAGAAGTGTCATGGGATGCCACTTTAAACCCATCTTTCAAAATCGGGCAGGTATTGGCAACCCACTTAATGTAAAATTGAAATATTTCCAAAAATGGAAATTTTTGGTGGTATCAAATAACACAAAGTAAGGATATGTTTTGGTTTACAGGTTTTAAAAGCAAAAGTTCATCAGTTAGATCTTTTGCTTGAACGTATATACTTATCTTTGAAGGAAATAACGGTAAACTATCTTCAATAATTTCAATTTTTTTATGATACTATTTCTTCAAAAAAAAGCATAAAACTTGTTGTGATTATTACAATGGGATGCTTATCTTGTGGCAGCCAGATCCGTTGACCAAGTCTTTGGAGGCTATTCTTCATCATCATGCTCATGCTACCTTGGATTGTAAATTAGAAGCAGACCAACCTCAACCTGAACATGAGGTTTTTAAACCCGTTTCACTTGCCAATTCTTTCTTACCAGAAATGCAGGAATTAGCAACATACTTTCATTCATTTATTTTTGGATGCTACAATAAACAAATCAATCGCACTTAATCCTATTCAAGCTTACACTTGTGTTGTGTATCTAGATCGAATACTGGGATGATCTTGAATTTCTTATCAAACAACTGCAGCAATACCAGGGTATTGAGTTGGTAACAAAAGGCCGGTTTTTCTTCAGCCCTGGTTTGACCCCAACATTTCAGGTTTTTTTTTTGGTTTGTTTCAAAAGAAACTCTTTGCAAGTGTTCTTGATTTGTTTTAGGTATTGGGTATTGAATAAAGTTAAATCTTATATGAATTCTTGGCAGGTTTATATGGCATCCATGTTCAAGGATCAGTACAAATTGCTTGCTCGAGCTGGAGACAAAGTACAAGAGGTACATTTTTACTTTTGAATGCCAAACTTGCTACTTGAATATAATAAACTGCAACATATTTTGTATCAGATTTGTTGTAAATGAAATATCTGTATATATATATTTTGGGCAGGTGGTGGTTCAGACATGGCTAGGTACAGAGGAGATGAAGCATGCGATTTTAATGTGCACCAAAAGAGTCGAGTAAATGTTGTTTCATTGTCAAATAATTAGTTGATTGGATCATGGTTGGGTAACCATGGTCAATTGGTCTCACTCACCCCCAGGTTCCAGCCATGAATAGAATTCTTCAACAGTAGTGTATCAAGAAAAGGCAATTTTTGTAACCCCAAGTGGTGTTTTGGCAAAGTTTTGTCAAGGGTGGGTTGATTTTGGAATAGTATAGTTTGATATTGGTTTAAAAAGTTTTGAAATAGATGAGTTTGGTATAATTTGTTTAAACAATTATGAATGGATTGGTTTGCTTTGCTTTTTTGTATGAATGTTACATAGGGTATACATAGTGTAAAATTATTAGATTGTCACAATAACATTTTATTTTTCATACAACTTTCCAATTTAATATCTACACTGTGGGCCTTCCTGTTTCCATTTTAAAAAGTTCAATGGATATTGAATTTCAAATTCATTATATATCAACTTAACATCCTTATGTTTGGGTTTAATCCACTATATGTCAACCGGACATTCCATCTTATTGGTCCATTATATATGCTCTAATGATCAAGGAATGTTCATATTTTTGGTAAAAGACGGCTTAATCTCTAGTTCAAAGAAAAAGTAAAATCCAAAAAAAAGGTGTTGGATAGGCGTTTTATGTAACGTTTTTGTAACTATGTTTTTGTATCGGTATAATCTCCTTTCTATCTGTTACGCAAAAACTTGCCATATTTAGTAAGAGGTGGTGGTTTGATTTTGTATCAGGTGTGGTTATCCTGCTGTTAACTCCTCATACTATGATTTGAGCTTCCATCCAGTGAGTTGAAATAAGGACTGCAAACATTACAACAACTCTAAAGCGATCATGTGCTATAATTGTAATTACTGCAAGTCAACCTCTGTTTCCCCATATTCTATTGCTTTTCTTTCATCACTTTTGTTTTGCAAGTTCCACATATTCATGTTGTGTATTGTATTGTGTTTCAGGGCTGGAGTAGCACAATATATTCTCAATGATCAGGACAAGGAGAACATTTACATCTTTACCCATGTGCAAAATCGATAACAAATCCTTGTCCATGATTTATTTTTGGAGGCTTGAATTTATGATATTTTGCTTAATTTTTTTTTTTTTTTTTTTTTTTTTTTTTTTTTTTTTTTTTTTATCTTTTTAATATCAGTCCATGATTTATTTCTTGTTTGCAAGAACGAAATGCTGCCAGGATGCAATCCAAATCTTGAAAAGATGGGTATGAACATTATCATCATCTTTGCAGCAACTCAAGAAACTGGAAGTTGCATTCTTCAAATCAATGTCGGAAAAGAAAAAGACAAGTTCATGTCCCTTGTTAAAGGGACAATGATTATTCTATTTCCACACACATCCAAACATGAATTTGACCATCAAACTTGTCTTGAAACAAATTGTACAACACTTTCAACATTCATCACTCCCCCCTGATTTTTTATCTGGTTTCATGCGCCTCCTTATTTTTGCCAGAATATCAACCCATCTTAATAACACAAATCAACAACACTTATAAACCACAATCTTATATCTGTCTCAAGTTTTAAGGGTTTATGGTTTTGGGTCGAAAGCAAAGGTTTTCAGTTGAATATAATTTATTATCAACCATGCAAATGCAATGATTCCCAAAGAACGCCAAGATCCACATTACCTCCCGAAAGCACAATCCCAATATTACGGGAATCCTTGAAAGCAGGATTTTGCTTGAAACTATCTGAGAGAACAGCAGCAAGGCCTATAGCACCACTGGGCTCAATTGCAACCTTAAGTATTTCATAACATAATTTCATAGCATCCACAATCTCTTTATCTTCAACAGTTATAATGTCATCAACAAGATCCCGCACAATGGGCCTGTGTAAACAAAAACCAAACCTTAGTTTAACTTTGATCTTTAGTACAAGTACAAAACTGATTTCTTTGTATTACCAAGTGAGAGATCCAAGTGAAGCTCGAAGCCCATCAGCAATGGTGTTGGTCTGAGCCAAGGTGATGATCTGACCAGATGCTTTTGATTGTGCAGCATCATCAGCTCCTTTAGGCTCAGCAGCTATGACCCGTATACCTGGATTCATGGACTTGGCTCCAATTGTGATCCCAGATATCAAACCACCACCTACACAGCATTTCTAACCAACATCATCAATAAACAAATTCAACCCCAAAATATTCAAACAAGTTGAGTATACAGACCGCTTATTGGAACTATTAGGGTGTCGAGTTGTGGGACCTGATCAAGAAACTCAAGTGACAATGTACCCTGGCCACTGAAAAAGAAGTGCCGTTATCATCATTCATCATTTAATTAAAAGATATTGATTTAATTATAAGAAAAATGAAATAGTCAATACCTTATGGTACGAGGGTCGTTATATGGATGAACAAGAACAGCACCTGTCTCATTTAAGACTTTGTTTGCAGTTTCCTCTCTAGATTGCATGGTAGGCTCACACCATATAATCTGCCCTCCATAACGTCTCACATTTTCAACTTTGCATTTCGGAGCATTTTTTGGTATAACAATATACGCAGGAATTCCCCTCATTTTTGCAGCCAAAGCCAGTGCTGCAGCATGATTACCACTGATTTCCAGGAACCATGGTTAGTTTGAACTAGTAAAAACTCAATTCTAATTTTCGTTCATTTAAAAAGTCAATATACCTGCTGTGAGTTGCAACTCCTTTCGCAGCTTGTTCGTCTTCAAGAGAAAACACAGTGTTCGATGCACCTCTGAATTTAAATGCTCCACTGATAATCATCAAAGAGAATTAAAGCACCTTCAAATAAGCATGCTAGGTTCCATGGTAATTTCCATAACAAGATAAAGAGACTTTTATTACCCCTTCTGAAAGCATTCACACTTGAAAAATAAACTTTTTCCAGCAATGGAATTAAGGGTTTCAGAAGATAGGACAGGAGTTTTGTGAACATATGGCTTGATGCGTGCATGTGCTTTGGTTATGGAGTCGATATCAGCAGCATATTTCTTCTCCTCTTTCAGACTCTTATCTTCCATTTTTTGTTGTTGTTTTGCAATTGGATCAAATCAGACTTTTCAAGTTGCTGCAATGAAAAAGATTATTATGTGGAAAACAAACATGGTTGGTTGATTGCTAAATATCCCAATTCTAGCCAACAAACTGTCATCTAAAATGCTTAAAACCCACCATCTTCTTCCAGATTTGGATCACATCTCCATATCCAGCATTAATACACGAATATCATTAGTTCACAGCAGGGTATAATAATTAATAAACTAAAGATACAAATTCCATTGCATATTGTTCAAAGCTTATTTCCCAACCAAAACATTGCTAATCCCATAAAGAATTCCAGATTTGACTCTTTAAATATCATTTCCAAGGACTTATACCAACATTTAACCTAGAAACGACGCATTTCTGTGATCAACAAAATAAAATATAAAGCCAAAACTGAATTTAGATGGTAGTTGGTTAGACTGTGTAAAATCGTAAGGGACTTCTATTGGGAGTAAGAAAGAGATATAAAACACGACATATGGAAGATATCCATTTCCAACAATAAAACCCAAACGCAGAAAATTGAGGTTCTTCAAATTAAAACTACGAATTAATCAATTTAGAAGTCATCGACAAAATAACAAACAGAAACATCCCAAGCTTTTGATTGGTTTTTTGAAGAAACATACCTGTAATAAAATCCGGTATATCGGACTCCCGCCGCCACAGAGTGCTCTCTGCTACTCTGGTAGACTGGTCAGCAGCTTAACACAAAATCCGGGTTATGGATCAAGTTGCTCTTCTTTATATATTGTATTATTTTTTTTTGGAAATCAGTGAAAAAGTCCCAAAATTTTGCTCCAATTTATGATTTAATCCTAAATTAAATTTAACTTATGAAAAATGACAAATTAACGGCTAATACACTCAGTTTGGCCCTAACACCGGTAATCGTTATAAGAGATGGTTACCCCAGCTCATTGACCTTATCACCCTCCATTAAACACCCCGTCATCAACTCCTCTGTAAAAAACCCCTTCTTACCCTCCATCAAAACCAAACGTTACCTGAGAAGAATCAAAGGTAAGAGAATCCACGTGGTCCTCCAATATCGTGTTTCCTTTAAAATATTTCATTAATTTTTGTTTTGTAGTGATAATGGAGACAGTAGATGACTTCGATACCATTGACGTGGAATTGGATGAGTTTTTCAAACACAAAGAAAGAAGTCGATGCAAAGATGAGTTCCTAAATACTCTCACAGACGAATCGCTTGACGAATGCACCATACCTGAGATAAACCTAAATGATTTTGAAGAAATGTCGGAAGATGAAGCACCGCAGGAAAAGCAGAGTGATAGTGAGGGTGACGATGAAGACAAATTTCAGTTTCAATACTCAACCCATGATCTGAAGGTGAAATGGAATAATATGAAGCCAGTTCTTGGAGAGAGGTATGAATCACCACACCAACTAAAACTTTGTTTGACAAATTACTCTAAAAGTAGGGAATTATCCAATTAGGTTCAAGAAATGTGATAGTGTAAGGCTCGTGGCTGTATGTGCAAGTGACCCTGAGAAATTTCAATGTCCCTTTGTTGTAAGGGCCTCATGGATGAGCACTGAAAGAACATTCCAAATCAAAAAAATGGTTGACCAACATACTTGTGTTAGGAATTTCCGTAGTGCTAATCTTATGGATCCCACATGGATAGCCAGGCAGTTTCTGAAGGAGATGATTAGGAAACCAAATCTGAAATGTAAGGAAATGCAAGCTATTATTCAAAGCAGGTTTCATGGTCAAAATGTTATAGAGCAAAGTGTAGGGCAATTTCTTTAATAGATGGAAAGTTGAGTGATCACTATGCAAAAGTTTGGGATTATGGACATGAATTGATGAGGTCCAATCCAGGGAGTACAGTTCAAATATATATCACTGTAAACCCTAATAACACTACTACTTTCCATAGAATGTATACATGTTTTAAGGCTATCAAAGAAGGATGGAAAGTTGGTTGTCGAAGAGTTATAGGGCTTGATGGGAGTTTTTTGAAAGGACAATGTAGAGGTGAGCTGCTAACTGCCATAGGGAGGGATGCAAATAACCATGTGTATCCCATTGCTTGGGCAGTAGTTGAAACTGAGAACAAGCCCAACTGGCAATGGTTCTTGGAACTATTACATGATGACCTGGAATTACAAGGAGGCTTGGATTTGTGTGTTATTTCTGATCAACACAAGGTAATGTTTTCAATTATCTCCTTTTTTTTTCATTTCATTTATACATGGATCAAGCCAATAGTAATGATATTTTTTAATGTAATTGATATGGTCTTTTGGAAGCTGTAAAGGTTGTATTGCCACGTGTGGAGCACAGACAATGTGCAAGACATGTGTATGCAAATTTCAGAAAGGTCTTCAGTGGTATAGAGTTCAAGAATATGTTTTGGACAGTTGCCAAGTCAACTGTTGAAGGAGACTTCAAATTGAATATGGAGAAGATCAAAGAAGTCAATCCTGCTGCTTATGATCATTTGATGGCAAGGGAGCCTAAATCTTGGTGCAGGGCATTTTTTAAAGGTGGAATGACATGTGAGGCTGTTGAAAATGGAATGGCAGAGTGTTTTAATGCCGTCATACTTGATGCCAGAAAGAAGCCTTTATTGGCTATGCTTGAGGAGATTAGACTGTATATGATGGAAAGTTATTTAACTTGAAGCAAGAAGCACGTAAATGGGTGAATAATGTGTGTCCAGGAGCTATTAAGAAAAAGGATGAGTTTGCTTTTGATATCAAGTAAGTATTATGTTCATCCTACTGGTTTGAAACTGTTAATGTGTACACTAATTAAAACTGTTAATGTGTTTGCAGGACTTGGTATGTTCATCCTAGTGGTTTGAATGCTTTTGAAGTGAGAAATGGCTTCCACTCATATGGAGTGAACTTAGAGGGGATGTACTGTACATGCAGACTTAGGGAGTTATCTAGGATCCCTTATGTCCATGCACAAGCAACCATAATTTACACACAACAGGATCCAGCTAGATTCATCAGCACATGGTTTGGTAAGGACAAGTTCTTAAGTGCTTATGAGTCTAACATCCTTCCTGTTAATGGCAGTAATATGTAGGAACCAACACCTTACACCAAACCACTACCACCTATTGAAAGAAGGATGCCAGGAAGGCCTTCTATGAAAAGGAAAAGGCATGTCTCTGAGCATCAAGACAGGTTTTCCCCAAGTCTCCTCTAAGGGTAGAACTGTCCAATGTCAGAATTGTATGCAAATGGGGCACAATAAAGTGTCTTGCTAGAATCCCTCAGTCCAACCAACACCAAAGCCTAAGAAGAAAATAGGAAGGCTAAGGTTGAATCCAGAATTGACCAATTGCAGTAGACTTGGGAGAGGTGGTGGAAGTGGTGGTAGAAGAGGTGGAAGAGGTGGTGGAAGTGGTGGTAGAAGAGGGGGTAGAAGTGGTGATGGTGAACATGTATCAGAAAGTTTTGGGAAAAAAAGAACCTGGGATTGAGACTCAATTTTTCACCCAAACAACACCTAATGTTGAGAGTCAATTTATCACCCAAACAGCACCTACTGTTGACAGTGAACATGTATCAGAAACACAAAAAGCTGATGTTAACATTGATGATGAAGTTGATGGTATTGATATGGCTGACCTGGATCAAATACTAAGTGATTTGAGTTACCTTAGAGAGTCAAAATACAGTGAAGCAGAGATCCTTATATGTCTTAATATCACCCAATCACAACTGAAAGGATTTGATGCTTTGATTCACCAATCCAAACAAGCTGCAAAGGTATATATTATAACATTGACAGTGAATTTTATTTTTCAATAACATAACTAACTTGTATTCTTTCTAATGCAAGGAAACACATGAGGACAATGGTGAAGATGTACCAGAAACAACAGGAGGACAATGGTGAAGATGGAGCTGAAGAATCACAGGAGGACAATGATGAAGATGGAGCTGAAGAATCACAGGAGGAGGGTTGGTGATGATACTCAAGTTAGGGTTAGAACTCAAGTCAGGGTTAGAACAAGAGAAACTTCTGAAAGGATCACTAAAAACATGTTGAAGAAAATTGTGATTGACAAGAAAGGAAAAGGAATGGCTCCAGAAAAACCACTTAATTTGGATTAGATTGGTTAGGATTTAAGCAGTTATAT